CTGGACTGGAAGAGGAGCAACTGGGACTAGAACTGGCGCCCAGATAGGGTGCCGGTGCCGCAGGCAGAGGATTAACCAGTGCGCCATGGCACCAGCCCCCAAATCTTTGCTTTTTTTTTTTTTTTTCTTTGACAGGCAGAGTGGACAGTGAGAGAGAGAGAGAGGGAGGGAGGGAGAGAAAGGTCTTCCTTTTCCATTGGTTCACCCCTCAATGGCCACTGTGACCGGCACACTGCGCTGATCCGTAGCCAGGAGCCAGGTGCTTCTCCTGGTCTCCCATACGGGTGCAAGGACCCAAGGACTTGGGCCATCCTCCTGGCCTGGAAGAGGAGCAACTGGGTGAGAATCTGGCTCCCCAACCGGGACTAGAACCCAGGGTGCCGGCGCCGCAGGTAGAGGATTAGCCTATTGAGTCACGGTGCCGGCAAATCTTTGCATTTTTATAATATTATTTTTAAAGTCCTATTCTACAATTTTATTATGTTGATCATTTCTAGGTTTATTATTATTATTTTTTGACTGATTTTTCCTCCGAGTGTGTTGAGGTTGTTCAACCTTCTTGCTTATTCTCCTGATTTTTAACTTTGGCTTTGCCATTCTTAGAAGCATGTTGTGTTTTAATCTCACAAGCAGTTTAGTCATTTGTTAGTGTGAGTCTATAACAATGCTTTCTGACAGAGCTTTCTATCTTGATAAGCTGGTTTTGCCTACTTCTTAAGGTATGGTGTTTTTGGGGGGTCTCTCTGGAATATTGCAGATGTTCTGATGGCCGCAATGGCCGGAGCTGGGCTGATCTAAAGCCAGGAGCTTCTTCTAGGCCTCCCACATGAGTGCAGGGGCCCAAGCACTAGCCATCTTCTGCTGCTTTCCCAGGCCATCAGCAGGGAGCTGGATCAGAAGAGGAGCTGCTGGGACACAAACTGGCACCTCTGTGGATGCTGGCTCTGCAGCCTGAGGCTTAACCTCAGCATTGGCCCTGAGGTGAAGTTTTTTTTCCCTGACCTATAAAGAGTCTCATTTACAGAATGTCTTTCAAGATAAATGTCCATAATCACTCAGGTATAGTGAATACCGGGAACTCAGTGGGATCTTGTGGGGTGTGGTGGTAGATCCATTATCCCCTTGAGGAGCTACTTTCTTAGAAAGATTTGATTATTAAATGAAATAATATATTTGATACAATAATCATATCTATCTTTTATTTATGGAAAAAAGATATTTCATTTTCAGTTTCTGCTTCACAAATTTGTCAGTGATTGCATTTTGTTTTAAGATTAATGACATAAAAATTGGCATGAATTTGGTTCAGGTTTGCCTTAGGTTTCAAGTTAAAACTGTTGGCCCATAAATAATTATGAGCTGTCAGTTCAGTATTAGAATCTTAGAACTGGCAGTGATCTTGAAAGTCACTCGTTCTAGCCTGCCCCACAAGCTCCTTGACAGAGGCTGCTTTGAGATAGCTTAGTTTCCATGACTACAGGTGTAGAAAGTTGTTAGAAATTATAGAATGCTCTTAGGAGATAACATTGAATCGAATTCTATTTTCCACGAACTTCTGCCTGGTGGTCCTACTTCTCCTGTCCGTAATTTCTTAGAATAAAGCTCAGCTTCTCCTTCGGCTGTTTTATCTGACAGCAGTTTCACACCTGTTTTGTCCATCTTTTTTACTTCTTTGCCCAAACCATCTCTGTTGTAAAACTATTTCTTATGTAACATCACTGTCTGCATTTAAGAATATCATGTCTGTGTGCATCTTCCACTATATATTCCAAACTGAAGTCAGTCTGGCAAAGGCAGCCTGTATTGAAGAGCATCTTTGATTTGGATATTTATATGACTAAATACCTCCCAATATTGCCTTCACTTTTTGTCCCTTATTAACTCAGATTTCAAACACCCTAGCTTTTCTTTTAAAGGGAAACTTTTTTTTTAAAGGAAATTTTAACTACTATTTCCATTAAACTACACATATCGAGTTCATTTTTTATCTCGGTGCAGACTTAATTCTCTTTTTGTTTTAGTTGATGTTGAACTTCATCTTGCTAACTTCTGTGTTTTATCTGCAGATGTGATATGCATTTGTCAGATTTGCACACCAGTAAACAAACTATGGTACAAGACAAGGTCAAATGCAGAAATCTATTAGTTACCTCCAAGATCCTTCCTCTAAAGTGGTATCTAGTACTTCTCTGTATGTGTTTGCTCAGTCCATTAGGAGTCTGCCTAACTGAGTATTGGGCTTGTCTTGCTGTGCTTGGATTTTAAGGATGTCACCAGGGACTTTGCGTGGAGCCTTGCTGAGATTAGAGTGTCCCATGTGTGTGACATTCTCCTGTTCTAACATTTTAGCCACTTTAGAGTGTAAAAATTGTGGCAATATTCGCTATCATGTTTTGTGATGATTTTCTACTTTTCCATAATTTTAAAAATATTATCAGTGGTTAAATAAGCAAACTTATTATAGAAGATAATGTTTTCTGAAATCAGAAGTCTTGTATATTTGTAATAATCAAGGTGTATTTATTCCTTTGTACTAGGGGAAATCACATGTATGTTTCTGTCAAATATTGGAGTACTATACTCTTAGAACAAAAAATATGTCAGAGTTTTAAGTCAATATGACAGAAAGGTCTTAATTCACTTGTAAAGTTCTCATATTGCCACAGCATGAAAGTAATATTTTTGTTAGTTATGAGCACTTATTTTTTCCCTTAGTTTCATAGCTCTTGAAATTCATACCATTTGAAGAATAATCCACTCTGGTTTTTAGTAAAAGAAATAAAAACACCATTCTATTTTATTGTTTATTATAATGGACTAGAATTCAAAATGATAAAAGTATAATTGGAGGATTTTTACTATAGAGTTCATATTTTTCTGTAATCAATTTGGTTGTTTTCTGCATACGGTCGATTTGTATATAGAACGCTATGATAGGCTATTTCTGTCCAAGGGATTCCAAAATTATAGACACTGATGTCAATGCAGATGAGGTTCACCTAATTTGGTCAGGAGAGGGACGTGGTGAGTCTCTATATGGATAACTAAAGGCTGTTGCCAAGATTGACAGGTGTCCTGTGTGTGGCAGAGAGCCCTAGGGATAAAATTTGCTCTTGGATTACTTCTAATAAACAATGATCAAAGTCATTCCTTTTTTCTATTGACCACAAAGAAAATAGTGAGGTGTACTTTGTGATTTGATCTTTACTCTTACTAAGACAACCCTTATAACCTACAAAGATAAACTGGTAATAAATATATCATTCCTGAAATAAAAGAAAATTACATTGAGAAAAGTTGAGAATACCGTTTTAAGAAAGAAAAACCCTGCATTTCCTGAGTTTTTATAGGATTTGAGTGACTTTGAAGCATCATTAGCGTGGAAGAATTGATTTTAGTTGGTAACTCAATAGCTCTTTCTGTGCAAACAGATTTTCTGATTGGGGAGGATCACGTCTTGATTGTCAGTGTATTATAGTATCAGACATGGAGTAGAAATTCAAGAAATAGATGCTGGGAAAACCATTTTCAGAGCCAACCGAGGGTGAGAAATGAAAGCCAAGAGCCTGGTCCTACTGGACGCCACTTGGCAAGCATAGTGCAGTTCCCCTCATGACCATTGGGATTGCAGTTAGAACGAGAGGTAAGGTACAGCTACTGTGCTTATTAGGGCCTTGTCATTTTAAGGTCTTAATATTTAATTCTGATAGAGCTGACATTTCTTGAGAGCTCACTCTGAGCTAGCTCTTCTTTTATGTATACCATTCCACTCCTGTGAAGAGGAGGAAAGTCAGGTACAGGGAGGTGATGATTCATCCAGGGTCACCAGCTCTGGCAAGAAAGGTGGAAAATAAACCTAGACCCTCATCTCCAAGCCCAAGAGAGTTTAGATGGTAGAGATAATCTGTATCGAAATTCATGAGAGGACTTGGAGGCTAATCTTTCCTACTTGATGTCTTAAGTTCTAGGTCTTTACCTTCTCTTCCTTTCAGTCTTTTTTGTTATCTTTTAAAGATTTATTTATTTATTCATTCATGTATCCATTTGTTTGTTTATTCGAAAGGCGGAGGGACAGAGGGGGAGAGACAGAAATCGTCCAACTGCTGGTTCACTCCTGAAATTCCCACAACAGCCAGAGCTGGGCCTGGAGCCAGTAACTCCATCTGGGTCTTCCACGTGAGTGGCAGGGACCCAAGTACTTGAGCTGTCACCTACTGCTTCCCAGGTGCATTAGTAGGAAGCTGGATCAGAAGTGGAGGTGGGACTGTGTCCTAGGCACTCCAGTGCGGGCTGCTGGCGTTCCCAGTGGCTCACCCTGCTGTGCCACAATGCATGTTTGTCTTTTAGTATATGAGGAAATGTAGATTCTTGAGCTCACTGTTAACTAAAAGGTTTTTATTGAAATATTTCAGTTATAGTACCAGAAATAGCAATCTTTTATTTCTCAAAATGTGATCCTTTTTGAGCAGCTGATTGGAAGAGAAGTTAGGAAGAAGAGAGGCATTCCTGGGCTAAGGTCATCATGGTCATGGACCAGTTTGGAGTATGCAGCCCAGGCCAGAGTGACAGAGAATGACAATGAAGCCCGTGTTAGATGCTGGCTAGGCTAGCCCTGCTCTAACAGCTGACCAGCAATGTTTCTGATAAGTATTGGGCTAAGATTTGGTCTGTCCCATGCCTGGGCATCCTTTGAATTTGGTTGTTGGAACCTTACTGGAAAAGAAAGAGGGTCATCAGAGACCCCAGCAGTCTCCTGTCAAAGCTGGTCTCATTATAAAATAGAAACATTTATCTTGATTTGGGCAAGGGTTAGCATCACAGTTTGTTCATTCTGGAGCCAGAAGTAAAAAGTTCACAGCCAGCTATTGGAGCAGCTTAGATTTAAGAAAATTTGGATTTAGACCTGTCAGTTTATGTTTCACTTTGATAGGTCTAAAATTAACTTCTGCATGAATTCTTTGTACCAAGGATTAGCTAATGAAAAATTAGTATTTGAACCATTTGAGCTATTTTCAAATACTTGAGAATTGTCATTTGTGCACTGTTGCTGTGCAAGTGGTTTTATTCCCTCATAGACTGCAGTCTGTGACATAGTCCTGTCACCTCTGAGTTTTGTCATGGTCCTGCCACCTGAAGGTTGTGATCACCTCTCTCCTGGACCTCTGTCAGGCAGCCCAACTCCCCATGAACTGCCCTCCTCTAACTAATTATGTTTGACCAAAGTGGCTTTTCAGAATGGAACCATCTGCTAAAGGTGCCCGGCAGGTTGTCATTCATTTCTAGCATGGAGACAGGCCACCTTTGTGTGGCCTCCAGGAGGGCCCTGTAGGGAGTGGCCTGTGTTCCCCCATGCTGCAGCCTCATCTGTCCCTACCTGCACTCAAGCTGCCCAGGTCTCCTCTCCGTCACTGGTTCTTGCTGCTTTTTGTCTGGATCCTTGGCCCTCATGCCAAGGATGACCATACAGACATTTTCCTCCTGTCTTTATATTTTTGTCCCATTGCATTCCAGCTTAGGGACACTTCGAGAACCCTGGGAAGAAATCTTTTACCTGTTCTCTAGGTCAGAGCCAGACTTTGCAGGTAGCTTCTCTTTGCTTCATCACACTTGTTACGGCTGCAGTTTCGTGTGTATTGTATCATTTGATTAATGCAGACTCTAAACTGTACCTGTCACAAGGGCGGAAGCCATATCTGCTTTTACTTAATGATTGTATCCCTGATGTCCTGCACAGGACGTGGGACACAATGGCAGCTTAATAAGCACTTGGTGAATACCTGGAATGAGAGTCGCCAGATACCTTTTCTCAGCATTACTACCTGCAGTCTGCTAGCTGCTGTGGCGGTCATTGCAGATGGTTGGGTAGAGGCACACTTCGTTATTAGACAGTTCACTCACTGCCATGAGAGCAAGACATGTACCAAAAGTATTATTTTATAAGCTAGATTGCAATTAGAGTTTGAAAAATAATATACCTTTAATGATGTGAAAATGTGCTGATTCAGCTGGTCTTTGTCAATACATAAAAACGAGTGAATTGCAATGTTAAGGAGCAGAACAGTTTTTGCGACAACATGTAACATTCATAAAGTAATCCTAGCTCCAAAGGAAGTAAACGTTGATCAAACATCAATGTGAGAAGTTGAAGAGTAAAATGTGTTATACTACTTGTAAATGCCGGGACATTGTGCCTGTGAAACGGTCTGTGTGAAGACCAAGAGGAAAGTTTTCATCCTGCCAAACAGTTTTTGAAAGTTGTTGTGAGGCAATCAGTCTGTTAGTATAAAGACTGTACAAGTGCGTGGGGCTGGCCTGGGGCCGCTTTTGTCCACTTATTTGAAGTTGTTAGGTCAGCCCTCGCTCAGGTGCCCCCCTCCTCCCCATTATCCTTAGGTTGCTCCACCCCGTGCCTGGGGTGTGCAGCTTGCTCTGGTAGGAAGACTGGCTGGGCAGTGCATTCTCAGAGGAGTCAGGTGATTGCTGTTGGAAGGCAGCTGCTGGAGGTTCCAGGCAGGCAGTGTCCCCTCTCCTCTGCCTCAGGACAGCTGGTTATTTACCAGGCTCCTAAGAAGTCCTCCTTGCTCACTGGTAGAGGAGAGAGATTATGCAGTGGGCATCTGATTGATCCAATGGGAATTACACTGATCTGGTGTCTGGCTTTGGTTCTTATCAAGTGGATCACCTCCAAGGTAGGCCATCTCTCCTTTGAAGATTGTGACACTTAATCGTTACTTGCAATGCAATGAAGTGGCTAGTTGATTTTCTCTGTTTGCCTCCGTTTTTATCTCTGACTCAAAGAGCTGTGAGTTTTGCTTGTCAGCAGAAAGGCTTTAAATTTCTACCTGCAGCTTTTATTCCTTTTCCACTTGATTCCTTTTTTGGGGTGTTTTCTGGCATCATTCCTCAGTATCCAAGTAGTTGTTCTGAAGGACGTTTTACAATTAAACAACTTGAACTTTTAAGATAATAAAATCCAACTGTTGAGAGACTTTTGGTGTACTTATTTTAAATATCCTTTGCAGAAAAAGAATTTACTAACACTTGTGTACTTAAAGTGAAATTTGAGGACTTCTAAAGAGTGATAAGCTTTTAAAAAAATCACCCTCTGTCATGTTATTTCTTAAGGTCTTGCTGCTGCTAAAATGTATGTCTTAGCTATAATAGAATGTCAAAAGTGTAAGATTAATGACAACTTGTTTCTGAAGTTGAATTCTAAACAGCAGGCTTGAGAAAAGCCTGATCAAGTGCTAACTAGCCACTTGCCATCTGGATCAGAGTCTAAAACTAAAATAAGTTTATACTATTTGGAATTATTAGGCTATTTCTTCTGCACTTGTGTTAGAATGATAATATCTGTCATCACCATGCTGCTTTTTTTTCTTTCTGTATTAAACTGAAGAATAGTAACAAAAATTGTAAAGTCATCACTTTTCGCTAAACAACACAAAACTTTTATAAAGTTAATTTCCTTTTTCAAGGAAAATTTTAATCCCTGGTATGTAATTTTTTACGTAATTTAAGCTAACATTTAAGCACACTCATGAGAAGTAGTCCACTTTTCTTAGTGAATATGAAATGATGAAATAAATCACTTGAAGAAAAACGGTTTGTTCAAATTTTAAAAAACTGTGTGTTTTAAAAGTTAAGAATTAATTTTTGGCACTGATGGCTGTTTAACTCATTGTTTCTAAAGGATTGGTTTGCCAAGTTACCAAATACAGATCAAGTTAATATTAATGCATTTGAATTGTGGGTGTTTTCAGAGACTTTACTTTTTAAAATGATCACCAAAAACAAAAAGGATGCTAAAGTTTTATTTTAACATTTTAAAATAAAGAATGGGAAGGATACTATTCAGTGGATAATGCAATATTTGAATAGTGTAGGAACTCAAATACCTGCAGTTATGTGGGACGAGTAAGATCTGCAAAAGACTTTTGGCGTAGCAGAGAAAACTGATTTTAAGAGCTTTGTGTTTTGCTTATATGTTACTGTTTTTTGATAATGTCATCAAAAATTGTATTTAGTGTCTACTGTGTTTAAGCTCTTTAACTTATCAGTTTACCAGTCTGCAAAATGGGACCACAAAGGTTTACCTTAGTGAGCTCTTCATTGGGTCAAATGCGATTTTGTGTGAAAGCACCTGAACAGTACCTGACAGAGGGAGTTTATATGTTAATATTTTTACTGTGTAGGAGAAATGAATTTGCTTTTGCATGTCTGCCTTTAAAAGTTATGTATTTACTCATACTGGGAACAGCTTTTACACCTTTTGGTCGTGAACCCTCCCATCAGATCATTTATGGAAGACCGATTCACCCTGATTCAGGGTGAGCGGTGTCCTGCCAGGGCGTAGAGAACGTGTTTGAGCGTGGCACTGGATCCTTTGGAACCTTGCAGTTTAACTTGTTTATGCGGCGGCTGTCAGTTTCTGATTAGCCCAGCCTCGCCCATGTTTTGACCTATACTAGTTTGCTTTACAAGCTGTTCCCAGGATGGCTAAATTAGAAGAGTCACGAGTAGGAGCTTCTCAGTTATTTCCATTCACTGGTGAGGCGAGGTGGGAATGTGGGTGATAGCTCAGAATGGTTTATGACTGACAGTGTGACACAGGATTTTCATGAAATTTGTTTTACTCTTTTTACTAAAAATAAAATCTTACTATTATATGGTATTTTTAAATGCTAATCTTTAAAGAAACATGTTAAGGCTATGTGTAGTCTTGGTGTGCAAAGTACATGCAATTATTTTTTAAAACAATATGATTCTAACATGAAGTTCCAGGGTTTCTCGTAATTTACGGTACATTTTTCTACCTCAGTTGCTGAGTGAAATGGCTTATATTCACTTTAATCTTCTTAATTAAGATTAAGGGGGTGAGTGAAGGACTATCACTCAGGATGTATTTGTTGATAGTTTCACCTATTTAAAAAAAAAGTTTTTATCTGGATTTATTTCATAAAAGCTATGTCTTATGATTCAGTATAGCATTTAAGCTAAGTATTTGTAGATCAGTCTTACTTAAATTGGCACCTTGTATCAGATAGAGTATGGGTATTTTGCATATCCCTAAGTAACTTGTTAATGTGTATTTAAAATTAAATTCTACTGGGGCCGGTGCTGTGGCGTAGTGGGTAAAGCCGCCGCCTGCAGTGCCAGCATCCCATATAGGCACTCTTCGAGTTTCCGCTGCTCTACTTGCAATCCAGCTCTGCTGTGGCCTGGGAAAGCAGTGGAAGATGGCCCAAGTCCTTGGGCCACTGCATCCAAGTGGGGGACCTAAAAGAAGCTCCTGGCTCCTGGCTTTAGATTGGCACAGCTCCAGCTGTTGTGGCCATTTGGGGAGTGAACCAGCACGTGGAAGATATCTCTCTCTCTGCCTCTGCCTCTCTGTAATTCTGCCTTTTAAATAAATAAAATAAACCTTTTAAAAATTAAATTCCACTTTTTGCCAAGTTTTTATAAATTTTAATATAAACTCTACCGTTTTAATATTTAAGTTAGGCTCTGTACATGAGCCTAAAATGATTACCTTAAAATAAGTTTTGTATGACCGAATTATATGATCATTATGTTCATTACCCAGTTTTTGACATAATACTATTTTATTTAATAGAGAGCTGATGTTACTCTTTCACAATTCTTAAGATATGAGGTGACAAATGAGATTTTATCTGTATAATTATGGGCCGTTTTAGTAAATACCCTTCCTGCATTAGAAAAAATAATAATGATGCAAGCCACCCTCCTAAAGAAGACCATTAGACATAGCAGCTTAAATTTTGGTTCGACAAGCTGTTTATCCAGGTTGTTATTGCATTCTATCAGATTGATAGGTATTGATGTGACAAGCTGTTGCCCAATATCTGTAGTTTCATTAATATGTTTTAGTTATGGGGCTGGCGCTGTGGCATAACAGGTAAAGCTGCCACCTGCAGTGCTTCAGCATCCCTAATGGGCACTGGTTCAAGACCCGGCTGCTCCAGCTTCTATCTAGCTCTGTGCTAATGGCATGGGAAAGCAGTAGAAGATGGCCCAAGTGCTTGGGTCCCTGCACCCACGTGGGAGACCTGAAAGAAGCTCTAAGTCCTGGCTTTGTATTGGCCCAGCTCTGGGCGTTGCAGCCATGTGGGGAGTGAACCAGCAAATGGAAGATCTCTCTGTCTCTCTCTGTCTCTCTGTCTCTCTGCCTCTGCCTTTCAAATAAATAAATAAATCTTAAAAAAAATATTTTAGCTGATGGAATTATTTATTTCCGCATGTGCCCTTTCAGGGTTACTAAGTTTAATCCCCAGTATGGTAATATTGAGGGGAGGACTGTAATCTAATAAGCTAAATATCTTGGGGAGAGGATTGGAGCAGCAGGTGCGAGTAGTGCCTTTTAATACCAAGTGATTACTTGGCTGTTTGTTCCAGAAAAAATAGTTTACCATGAAACACAGCAGGAGGCTATTCCTATTCCTTGGGATACTCTTGTTGGAAGTTACTTTAAGCATACAAGTGTATTCTGTATGATTTTCTCCCTTGGGATTTGGATCATGCTTTTCTTTGTAGTAGATCTTTAAACTGTATTCAGCTCGTGAATTTTAATACACACACTAGAAATTCAAGAGGTACAAAGATACACATTGAAAAGTGCCCCCCTACATCTGTGTCCCTCGGCCTCCTTAGAGGCAACCCCAGGTTTTTTTTAGCTTTTATTTAATAAATACAAATTTCATAGGTACAGCTTTAGTAATATAGCAGTTCTTCCCCCCTTACCCGCCCTCCCATCCTCACTCCCGTCCCACCTCCTATTCCTTCTCCCATCCCATTCTTAGAATTCATTTTTAATTATCTTTATATACAGACGAACTCTATACTCAGTAAAGATTTCAACAATTCAGGCAACCATTGTTGATAGCTAGAATTTTATTTTTGTTTGAAATGTTCTTCTTACATTTCAAGAGCTATTTTTCTCTTTTTAAAGAAATATGAAATCATGTAAGAATTTTGAGTTGATATTTTTCTCTTAAATGGATAAACATTAAGAATTTAATAATGTCTTGGGCAGCTGTTTTGCATTTTATGAGGATATCAAAGTAAATTGTTTTTTTAATAATATTAAAATACTTGGTTGTTTTTCCTTGAGATTTGTGGATAAGTGTTGGGGTTGTAAATTCCATGCCTGAGCTACAGAAAGAGAGAGAGAGAGAGAGGGAGGGAGGGAGGGAGGGAGGGAGGGAGGTCTTCCATCCCCTAGTTTACTCCCCAAATGGCTGCAATGGCCAGCGCTGGGCCAGGCTGAAGCCAGGAGCCGGGAACTTCTTCCCGTTTTCCCATGTGGGTGTAGGGGCCCAAGGACTTAGGCCATCTTCTACTGCTTTCCCAGGCACATTAGCTGGGAGCTGGAATGGAAGTGGAGCAGCTGGGACTTGAACCATTGCCCATATGGAATGTTGGTATTGCAGGTGGTGGCTTAACCCATTGCAGCACAACACTGGCCCACTTGGGATTTTTATAGAATAGAATAGTTAGAAGGCCTGCCTTATTTAAAATTTTTTAAAAATGTAGTCCCATTTTCTTCTAATAATCTTTTACATTTAAATCGTTGTAATTTATTTTGAAGTAGGAATGCAATAATAAGCTTTATGTTTCTTTCCAGAAGGTAACCACTTAATCTAACACTATTGAATATCATCATTTCCCCCATATATTTTTATATTCTATATCAAATACAAATTATATTCTTGGATTTGCTTCTAGAGTCTTGATTGACTATTTTCTCCGTTTCTTTGCAGTGGCACTGTACTTTGTGTATCAGTGGCTCACTGTGCTAACTCCATTTAATATACTTTAAAATTTTTCTTAACATACTGTCTCTGCTGGGGCAGCAGACTCCCAGCTCTGTGGCCTCTCCTCCACCCAGGGAATTTTGGTTGCTTATCTCAAATAAACTTGCTTTCACTTTTGCACCATAAAAAAATTTTTTTTTTCCCTTTGCTTGTTGGTTCAAGTAATTTTGTAGATCACTTTCGGTGTGCCCTGTTGTATGTGTTGAGATTTAGTCCAGGTCATGGAATGCAGCAGTGAGTGGAATCCCTGCCTCCTTAGAGCTTAGATTCTAATGGGAGACTTGGTCAGTTTTCTCTTCCAGATGTTTAACTTATCATCATTTATATCAGTTCTTTTAATTGATAATTGACTTATCCATTTGTTTGTAAACTGTTATTCATCACTTATTTGCAATCTGTGCATTCAGTAGTTTATTCACCAAATATTTATTTATAGTTTACTAAGTAATGGGCCCTGTTTAGAAGCCAGTGGTGCAATGATGAAGGCAGACAAGGTTCCTGCTTTTGTGGAGCTTTTATTTTAGAAACATGCACACAAGGTGATGTCAGTTGAGTGCCACAGAGGATTGACTTAGGCTGCTGGGGGATGGGGGCTGTCTGGTGGCTTGAGGTTTGATAGTCCCCTCTCTGAAGGGACAGCTTTTCACCTAGAACATGAGAGATGAGAAGGGAGTGATGATGCAGTGAGCCCCGACAGGGGAGCAGCGAGTGTAAAGGCTTTGTGCGTTTGGTGTGGTTGAGGACAAGCAAGGGGCCAATGTGGCTGCCTCATAGTGGCGAGGAGAATTGTGAACGAGAGGACAGAGGTGAGCAGACCGTGGAAAGCTTTGGGAAATCAGAGCTTAGAGTTTGGAATTTATTCCAAATACAGTGGGTGCCATTGGAGCATTTTGAGCAGTAGCTGAAATGCTCACTCCTGCTTCTGTGTGGAGAGCAGCCTGGGCCAAAAGATGGAGGAGGGAATCCAGTGGATCGCCTTGTTCCTCTCTCTGCCATTGGGCAACTCCTGTCAATACTTCCGAGTCAACTCAGAAGTCACTACCAAACCTCTCCTGACCTACTCAGGTGAAATTTCTACCTCCTCATCCTGTATCCACTTCTGTAATAGTTCTTAACCTTATTGTATTATAAGTGTTTGTCTCTCTCCACACTAGAGATTTCAGGAGCAGATACCATGTCCAATTTTGTTTTGTATCTCCAACATTGCTTGCACAATGCTTTGCAAATAATATAAATAAATCTATGTTAGTTGAACTGAATTTTGTATTACATTTAATTGTTACACATTAAAATGTGTGTATTTTTTTTCTAGCGACGTGGAGCTATTTCCTATGACAGTTCTGATCAGACTGCGTTGTACATTCGTATGCTAGGTAAGCCTTATTTATTTTGTACCCAAATTAGTTCATTGTTTTATCATAATCTTTTATTTGAGGATGTGGTATCTTTCGTTAGGTTTTTTTTTTATCATTGTTCATATCACAAATAATCTATTACATTGAAGCTTAGAATCTAGAAACCAACACTGAATGTAATGTGAATAAAAGGAGGCATTTATGAATCACAGATAATGGAGAAATCTCTGGCTTAATAACTGGGACAGTGTCATTAGTCCACAATTTTAAATTGCATGTTGAACATTCTTCATAAAAAATAGGTTTGTAGAGTTGCCAGCACAGACATGGTTGAGGCCATGGAATATCTGGTCAGACAGTTTTGTCACCAGATGTATTTTATTCTCAATTGGCTGCAAGGAATTTATCTTCTAGTCGTGGTGCTTAAGCTTCTTCTTCTTCTTTTTTTTTTTTTTTTAAAGATTTATTTATTTGAAAGACAGAGTTACAGAGAGAGGTAGAGACACTCCCCAGATGGCCGCAACGGCCGGAGCTGTGCTGATCCGAAGCCAGGAGCCAGGAGCCAGGAGCTTCCTCTGGGTCTCCCACATGGGTGCAGGGGCCCAAGGACTTGGGCATTCTCCACTGCCCTCTCAGGCCATAGCAGAGAGCTGATTGGAAGTGGAGCAGCCGGGACGTGAACCCGGCACCCACACGGGATGCCAGCGCCTCAGGCCAGGTCATTAACCGGCTCAGCCACAGCGCTGGCCCCAAGTTACTGATGTTTTACTCAATTCCACAAGGTAGTTTTCTCTCTGTCCCTCTCTCTCTGCCAGATGACATGCTTCCTAATCCCATGCAGTTTACTTCATACTATTGAACATATACTGTTAAGATTCCAAGAGACAAATTTACTTACCTTTTCTTGGAGGATCGCCTGTGACTCTTCTCCTCCTGCTCAGAATCCCTCCCTCACCTTGAAGATATTGAGCCACCCTTCTCCAACTTCTGTTTTCCTTTGCCTCTTTCACTATTCCTTTTCAGACTTTTAAGCCTAAGTGCTGCCTGAGATCCTGTGTTTGCTCTTACTCCCATTATTCCTCTTTAATTTACTGCTTGTATCTTACTTGCCTCACTTCTAATCTATTATAGCACTTATTTTTTTTCCCTCGTGAATGTGCAGTGTTTTCCTCTTCACTGTCTCCATCTCTCCCTACAAACACGTTCAGGGCTCTGTGATCCTTAAAACATATCTTTAGATTCATATTTTCTTTAATTCTGTAGAACATCTCCACCTAGGTGTGTGCTATAGGTACTTTAAACTTAGCATGTCTTACACAACAAGGTTTGCATTCCCCAGGTTTGTTCATTTTGTAGTCTATTGCTGTCTCAGTAAATATAACTCCATTCTTCAGCTGTCAGGTTAGAAACCTGAGAGTCATTCTTTTATTTACTTATTTATTTATTATTATTTGATAGGCAGAGTTAGATAGTGAGAGAGAGAAAGACAGAGAGAAAGGTCTTCCTTTCGTTGGTTCACCCCCCAAATGGCCATTACGGGACGATCTGAAGCCAGGAGCCAGGTGCTTCCTCCCAGTCTTCCATGCGGGTGCAGGGGCCCAAGCACCTGGGACATCCTCCACTGCCTTCTCCGGGCCACAGCAGAGAGCTGGACTGGAAGAGGAACAATCGGGACTAGAACCCGGCGCCCATATGGGATGCCAGCGCCAAAGGCAGAGGATTAACCAAGTGAGCCACGGCACCAGCCAATTCTTAACTCCTATTCCTTCCACACTCTGTGTCTAATTCATCAACAAATCCTGATGGCTGATACCTTCAAAATAAATCCAGAATCTCACCACCCTGATGGTATTACCCACTCCAAGCCTTAGTTATTGCTGTCGCTCCCCCTCTTCGTGGAGGAACGACACAAAACCCTGCGCTGTTCTTTTGTCTGCTCGGCCCTCCCTGGGTTTGCTGCTGGTTCTTCCCAGGTTGGCTACCGTCCCTTCCACCTCCGTGGAAGGGCGGTTCCCCCTGCCACTTTCCCCACTTCCGCGGGGGAGCGGTACACCGCCGGCCGGCTCTCTCGGGGGCTGCACAGGTGTTCCTTCAGATAGATGTTCCTGGTGCATGTTGTCTCTCTCCTCCTTTATAGTCCTCTTCCACCAATCCCAACTCTGCTACCCACACGCCGAGTATGCTGCTCTCCTCCAATCAGGAGCAGGTCTTGCTGTTTATTGGTTGAACTGGAGGCAGCTGTGTAGAAGCTGTTTCCTCCTCTCCCAGCGCCATATTGTGGGAGAGCAGATGCATAGAATAAGTCTTAATTCCAGTAACTTAGTCTAGTCCGAGTTGCTCCCCACAATTGCTTCTTTTATTGCACTCATTCCTTACCCAGTTTTCCTGCAGCCACCTTCCTCTATTTTAGACTACACAGCCAGAGCGAGCCTTTGCAAACATAGGTTAGATCATCTTCTCTGTTCATAACCCTCTGATGTTTCTGTGTCTTAGAGTAGCAACCAGAGCTGCTGTAATGGCCATAAAGGCCCTACATGATCTGACCCTTGTGCCTCTCTGTCCTTACCTCCCACAGGGTCCCTCACTCACCTGACATAAGTCATCCAAGCCTCTTTGCTTGTCCTTGAACAGGCCAAGCATGCTTCTGTCTTGGGATACAGGTGTTTATGCTTGCTCTGCCTTGTTGTTGGAAACCTCTTCCTCTCGGATAGCCATGCAGCTCCCTGCCTCGCTTCCTTCCAGTCCCTGCTCAGATACCTCCTTTTCCCTGACCACACTAATGCGTCACCTCTGTTCTTCCCTCTCTATTCCTCTTCCTTTGCTTTAGTTTTCTTCATGTAACTTATCATCTTTCATACTATGAAATGATGTATTTGCTTTGTTCTTGGTCTCATGCTATAAAAAGATAAGCTTCTTGAGGACAGGGACTTTGTATATCTTGTTCCCTGCTGTCTTTCCAGTGCCTGAAGTATGGTGGATGCCTGGTAGACATTACACTGTAAAGGAATCACACCGCATGAGAGAGGTGATTCATCATTGTGGGGTAGAGTCATGGCAGATGAAATGAGCCTTCAAAGAAATGATGATCTTAGTTAGAAAAACAAGTAATTAGTAAAGCCTTATAGGCAGGCAGAATTGTATGAACACAGGGATAAGGGTTGAAGACTTAAAGGTTGTGGACCTGGAAGCTGTGACAGTGGAGTGGGGAAGTGTTGACTTTGTAACCCACACGGCTTGAATTTAAATCCTGGCCCGCCCTATGCACTAACCTTGGGGCATGGCACATGTTATTCTCAAAGTCCAGCTTCTACATCTGTAAAATGGAGATTGTTATTGGTGAGTGTTGACTTGAGAATTAAATAAAGTAATGCCTGTAAGACAAAAAGTGTTGTGGTTATGTTGCTCTATAGAGAAATAAATCTGAAAGTCATGTAGGTCCATATAGGAAAAACACTGATTATAAAGACCAAAGTTTAAGACCTAGCTGAAGACCTTGGGTATACTCACTGGCAGTAGAAAAGATTAAGTTAAATAGTGGAAAAGCAACAGCATTCCAGTTTTCTACACATTTATGTGGTTGCAGACTACTTGAGAATAGGTCATGTCTCTTCTATCTTTCTAATTTCTTTTAGTCCATAGCATAGTACTAGGCACAGAGTAGATGTTTAATAAATGTTTATTCTTGCTATGACCTTTTAAAGGTTTGTGCTGAGGATTTTCTGTCTCTTCTAAAAGAGATTTTGTTTCCCAGTGGACATTTTTCTTCTTCTTTTTTTTTAAATTCCATGTAAACAATAAAGTGTTAGGTTGTATTATCACATATTTGACTTATCTTTCAGAAAGCTTACTTTAATAGGCTATAATTATTATTGTTGTAGGGGTATATTTAAAAAAAAAATCACCTCATCCAACCTTGCAACTCAGTACTGAAGATCTGTGAAACACTTCAGATAACTTTCTCTTCACTACTTGTTCCATGTATGTTACTAAGGGGCCATTATGTATGGAGTCCTACCACGTGGACCTTTCTTGCATATTGGAGCTTCTTTCCAAATGAGAGCCTTCTAAACTTTCATTGTATTCTTGATTCTGACCAGGAGATGTACGCGTAAGGAGCCGAGCAGGATTTGAATCAGAAAGAAGAGGTTCTCACCCATACATCGATTTTCGTATTTTTCACTGTAAGTGTTGACAGCCACTGTGGTTCTTCAGATTTTCACTAAACTTCAGGTCTTTATTATGAGTCTCTGGTTCTCCAAGGCAAAAAAAGAATGTGACAGGAAAAACTATATAATGGTTAGCATATTTGAAAAACATGCTGACACTTTAGTAGATGTTTCGGGACAATTAGAAAAGAAAAATATTAACCGTGTTAAAGCTGGTAAAGTTTTTCTTTCTTATGTGAAATTACTTTGGTACTTTTTTCTTTGAAAATGTATTTTAAAGAGTTGTTTCATTGCAAATGTTTTATCATTAATTTAATCTGGAATAGATGAAATGTTTTATGGAAAAGATATATTATAAAGGTATTTTGATAGTTTAACAAATTTCAATTTTTGGTTTATTTGAAATGCACATTATCTTTAAACATGTTTGGTAGAATGCATACTTCAGAAGCAAACATTCTGTGTGCATCTGGGTTTATAATGGAGGGAAACTGGAAAAGATATAACTTCTAAATTTTTTAAATATTGAACATATTAAGCCTGTTTCTGGAGGAGTTCCACTTTTGGCAATGTTGGATAAAGTAATTTGGATTAACACTCTACTTGGAGAATGGGAAAAACTGGACAAAATATAAAAAACATATGTTGGCACTTAGCGCAATGCTGTCCAGCAGTGAGCTTGGCAGTTCAGACCACCTTTTCTTGGCTGGATATGTGGAGTCTGAGAAAGGTGGGTGAGAAGCCGAGCAGAGCTTTTGATGAATACGTAAGGATAGGGAGGCGAAAACAGGTGGTTATAGCGTGCCAAGGTTAAATGGTAGATACTGGTAAATCTTGTGTACTTAGATTGGAACCAAGTACTGCATCTTAGAACTAAATCCTAGGTTTGAGATGTGTCAATCCCTGATTACATTAAGGTGATCCATGACTGTGGTGCTTCTAGCTGCCTGCGGGACAGTGATGTTACTCAGCCATCAAGGTTGCTAACTATAAACAGAACCCTGAAGAGTGGCCCCGGTAAAGATTGGTCACAGCCTTTGCATTGTTGGCACACCCAGTAAGAATGTGCAGAGACACCTAGGCCTCTGTGGAGGATTGCCTCTTCCAGTAATAACAAATGACCCCAAAACTTATTGGCATAAAACAGCCACCGTTTTTATGTTCATAATTTTAAGAGGCAGGCATTCAGTCAGAGTGTATTGGGTTTGGTGTGCCTGTGCACCGCAGTGCTGGGTTCTTTGATTGGGATAGTTCAGACATCTAGATAGCTGGATTGGCTCCACTGAGTCCCTGTGTCCTGGTTCTTCTTGTATCATCTCCTAGGTCTGGAACCTCCAACGTGGTTTTGGTGCCAGCATTGGGAAGGCTGGAATTTCTGGGACTGATCAGCATTTCTCTCCAGACATTGTCAGTCTCGGGGAATTTCAGCTTCTTAGATGGCAGCTGCTTTCTCCCACTGCAGGTGTTTCGAGGGAGAGGAAGCATGGGAGCTCCTAGTCTCTGGAAGTCTGGGCCTAGACCCTGGCATACTGTCTTATTGCCATATTCTGTTGATCAGTCAGGTCATCTGGGTTGTTCATATTCATGGACAGAGGATTTAGATCCCAGATGCAACTTGTCAGAGGCAGTAAGGTAAAAGATTTTTTAATTTTCCATCTTTAGTGTGGCATAAAATTTGTTGACGAAAGAATTAGGGTCCCAGAAGGAGAGGAGAGGGAGAATGTAGCACAGTTTTTAAGAGATAATGGCTGAGAAATCTCTAAATCTTGATAAAAAGACATAGAGATACAGATACAGGAAGCACTGTACATCTCAGAGTAGTATTAAAAGAAAACCACACCTAGGTATACCATGGTGTAACCATGAAATCCGAAATCATGGAGAAAATATTAAAAATAATGAGACAGAAAGAGAGGGGAAATACTGCCTTTGAAGGAGCAGTTACGAAATTGCCAGAAATAGATCCTTGATTCATTTTAAACAGAAACCAAGAAGCTAAAAGACCAAAGAATGGTAACTCCAGTGTGCTAGAAAAAATAAATAACTGTTAGGTTGAAATTTCATCCACGGGCTCTTCTAGATAGTGCCGGGGGGAAAGGACACCCTAGATAATTTATTATATAAAGCCAGCATAGTCTTCATACTATAACCTGACAAACGTAGGACAAGAACAGAAAATTACAAGCACATCACTCAAGAATACAGATGGGACACCTTAAATGCACAGATAGAACAGCTTAAGTGCATGTTCTCAAATTCAGTATGTAATATATAAGAATAATGATCTGTTTTGACCCAACTTGCATTCTTGTAGGAATATCAGATTGGCTTACCATTGAAAAAACAATCTACATAATTCACTGCAATAATGGATTAAAGGAGAAAACTTACAGATAGACCAGTGCTGAAATGAGTGTGCTAAATGCCAGTAGGACCAAATGCTAAAAAAAAAAAGTTATGATTTATGTATGACATGATTACATACCCAGAAAATTACTAGGATTAATAGTAAGTGAATTTAGCAAACTAGCTAGAAAAGAAATTAGTATGTGGCTGTATTTCTATAAAGCAGCATTGGCAAAGTTAAGATAAAATATAATTTAGATTTTATAAGGCGTCAAATATGTAGGGATAAACCTAACTGAAGATGTGTTTGATTACTTAGAAAATTATAATGCATAACAAAGAGATTAAAAAGGCCTAAATAAATTAAGACATATACTATTGTTTATCAGTTGGAAGAGTAAATATTTAAAGGTGTCATTTTTCTGAAATTTATGTATATGGGTTTAGTGAAATCACAATGAAAATCCTAACTTTTTTTTTGTGGTGGGTGGGTAGCAGTTTTTTGAATCGAGCTAATCATAAACTTTTTCCAAGAATTAAGAAAACGAAGAAGAGCAAAGACATTCAGGAAAAAAGAACAACCAAATTATAGGATTTATCTCTCCTAGGTATCAAAATTTATTCTGAGCTTTAATGATTGAGTCAGGATGATAGCGGTCCAAAGACTGACAAGTAGAATAATAGCACATTATGCAGTCTAGAAACACACCCACGTTTATGGGTATTTGATTTGTGACAAATGTGGTAGTGCAGTGGTGGAACATACATGGTGTAAGTCAAGTGGATAATCTGGAAGTTGGGGAGGAGGGGAAAGGGAGAAGGAGCACAAATCTTTACCCCTATTCATACCATACATGAAAAAAAATCAAATTTTGGTGGATTAAGTTTGCCAAATTATGTTGATAAATGAGAAATGAAGAAGAAAGGAGAACTGGTTTAACTGTGTGGAGATGTGGTCCGTAAAGCCTGAAGTCAGAGAGGACTAAAGTACTTAAGTACAGACAGCTTTTTCAGAGGTTTTGCTGCAAAGGGAAGAAATAAAGAGCTGACAGGAAAAGTAGGGGCACTGAAGCTAGAAACTAATAGTGAAGTTAGAAAACAGACTATATAGGAAAACCTGTGGAATTTATTTAAAGCAGTGATTACAGGAAAATCCACAGCCTTAAGAAATACTTCTTTTGGGGCCAGCATTGTGGCATAGTGGGTAAAGCCACTGCCTGCAACAGCAGCATCCCATATAGATGCCAGTTCCTGTCGTGGCTACGGCGTTTCTGATCTAGCTCCCTGCAAATGGCTTGGGAAAGGCAGTGGAAGATGGCCCAAATGTTTGGGCTTCTGCCACACATATGGGAGACCCAGATGGAGTTCCAGGCTCTTGGCATCAGCCTGTCTCAGAGTTGGCCATTGGAGCCACTTGGGGAGTGAACTAGCAGATGGAAGACCTCTTTGTGTGTCTCCCTTTCTTTCTTCCTGTAATTCTGACTTTCAAATAAATAAATATCTTTTTTAAAAAAAATATTTTCAGAAACAAAGAATGAAATAAGTCAACTAAGTAGCCTAATTGAAGAAGTTAAAGAATAATAAAATATATCTAAGAGAAGATGAAGAAAACAATAAAAATAAAAAACAAGTCAATGAATTAGACAACTGAAATAAAAACAAACCGCTAACTAGGAGCTTGTTTACAATAAAGTGTTGGCTAATGTAATAAGGCATTACATGGATGCATGTAGAGTGAAAAACTGGAGGGGAAAATCCCACAGATTTAGAAGAAATAAGGAATCTTAAACAGACTACTTCTGGGCAGGCATTGTGGTGCAGTGGGTTAATATGCAGCCTGGGATGCATGTATCCCATAGTGGAGTGCTGATTCAAGTCTTGGCTGCTCTGCTTCTGACCAGCTTCCTACTAATGCATCCTGGACAGCAGCAAATGATGGCTAAAGTGCTTGGACCCTGCCGCCCATGTGGAAGATCCAGATGCAGTTTTTGGCTCCTTGCTTTGGCCTGGCCCAGTTGTGGCTGTTTTGGACATTTGGGGAGAAAACCAGAGAATAGACTATCTCTCCTCTGTTTCTCCCTTTCTCTTTGTCACTGAACTATTCAAATAAAAAAAATTTTTTAAAGAAAAAACTACTTTGCATGGGTCTAAACAATATTTGAAAACCTTTGTGATCCAGAAAGATTTTTTTGAAAAATATTTATTTATTTGAAAGGCAGAGTTAGAGAAAGAGAGAGAGATCTTCTACCTACTAGTTCCTCCCCAAATGGCTGCAATGTCTAGGGCTGAGCCAGGCCAAAGCCAGGAGCCTGAAACTCCATCTGGGTTTCCCATGTGGGTAGCAGGGGCCCAGCCATATGGGCCAACTTTTGCTGCTTTCTCAGGCACATTAGAAGGGAGTTGACCAACAAAGACTGAAGCCCACACTCCTGTGGAATGCCGGCATCACAGGTAGCAGCTTAACCTGCTGTGCCACAGTGACAGCCCCAAGAAAATTTTCTTGGAAATTGTAATGTATCAGGACAATGTAGAAAATACAGATTAAGTAAACTAGTAATACTCAGAGGATTGTATGGAGTTCTCAGCACTCTTTGGAGGGACTATGAGATTAAAAGTATTTTTATTATTTATTTTTTATTTTTTAAATTTTATTTATTTGAGAGGCAGAG